GGAAGCTTCTAGACTCTGAGATCCAAAAAGGCACTCTCCCCGGCACAATACAAAAGCAGGCATGTCAGTTTGAAGAACTGATGACATCGACGAGAAGAATCGGTGTCTCCAGTTCCAGCTCTATGTTGACGTTCAAGCTTCTGTATAATGAAATTGGTGGAGCTCCTAACGAGCTCCTAAGCTCCTGACGCGACCCGAATACGGGAATCCTCATTATGTAGGGCAACATGATCATGGCCGGGCCGTAAACTCCTTTCTATAATGCACTCACACAACACAAGTGCAGCACGCCACCTGAACATTTGAGCCGATAGTCCCAACCCACTGAATCACTGCAAGGAATGCACAGGTGCTTGCGGCGATCATTTGCTGGCCTGAACGCTACGAAATGAACACTGCCATGGTTTGAGATTCCGGCCCTTTAGGTTGCCGGGAGTACCAAATACTCTCTGCTCTTCTGAATAAGGGTTGTCTCTATGCACAATGCGGGGCTGAAGGGGCATAGCCATAGCCACAAAAGAACCCTCGAAGCCAGAATCACCAGCCATTCGCAAACCCACGCCTCACTGGAGGCACGCACAAGTTGAAGGACCCGCACAGCTTGGCGCACCTTGCCTGGATGCAAACAAGGTAAAAACAAAAAGCCAACGCCCCAAAGTGGCCTCGCAAGAAAGTTAAAATCTAAAGAATCATACAGGCTGCTTTGAAAGGCCTTGTCAAATTCCCTTTCAAAATGACAGGCCATGGATAGATGTCGATGAATTTTGATAAGGTTGATGTTCCCTTCGCTGAACCGCCTTTCTTAGTTGCAAACTGTTCAATATATTGAATGCACAGTTCTGTTCTGAATCCTTGGGTTTAGCTTCCCAATCAACGGATGCATCGGTACATGCGTCCCATGATCGGTTGCAGCTCCCCTTTAAGTTGATCTTAGAGATTCTGAGAGCTTCTGCGGATAATGCATCATCACTCTCGCCGACTCTTGCTTTGAGGGCTCTATGTGTCAAGTGCGTCAAGCTAACCGCGACGATCCAAAGCCTGCGGTCTTCCACTTCGAGCCGACATCCATCAGGCTACGCTCCTGCAGGATGCGTCAAATAGATAGGGAGTTGTGTCTGTCTTGTCTGCAACAATTCAACAGTCATATTGCACATGCGCTGCGCAATGCTGCTTGCTCAGCTTGCTCACTCAACCTTGCGTCCCACACATCAAAACCATTGTTGGTCCGGCACTTCCACCGGTGAGGGCTTGGTGTGAAAAGGGACAACCGTTCAAATGTGTAAGAACTGCACATGTGATGCAACTTCCAGCTCTCTGCTGCCATACCGGAGGGCAGTGTCTGTCTAATCAGCCTGTACTTGCCCTGCAGTTCCTCACGTTCAACACTTGCTGTCTTTGCACCCTACTTTGGGAATTGTCCAGTTGCAAAACTACTTACCCTCCCAATCAATCCAACCATACTTGTCTGCACTGTTTGTACCTTGTTTCCATCCACCACCACCATAAGAGTTTCCATGCAACCATACTTATTTCCAATGTACCCATACTTGTTTGCAGTGTTTGTACCTTACAATTCTGAAGTACCACCTTACGTAGCCTTCTATTCTGAAGGTGGGTTGCATCCATGCTTGTTTGTATCCACCTGTTGCGATGCAACGGTTGGGTCCTTCATCGCCAGCCGCTTCCTCTCTTCACGCAGCGTCGCCGCTGCATCCCGCAAGGCCTGCACCGCCTCATCCACCTGAGCACGGACATCGGCACGCTGCACGAACAGGACTGTGCAAAAAGCACAGGGCCCTCCAACCGGCTGGCTTCCGGCGTCGTTAACAAAGACATGCTGTGATGCTGAGATACATTGGAGAAGGGCGAGGATCGGTACTTGCATCGGCTCACAAGACATTGATGGGGGCTCCTGATACGCTGGGCTTCCACAGGGTCGCCCGATACCAAGACACGGAGCGATTCGGAGGTCTGTACAACAAAGGCCAACTCAGAGAGAGCCCAGAGCCTGTGAAGCAGTCCGCATGGCTTTGAAGGATCAGTGTCAAATCAGGACCAAACACCCAACTAGGCAGAGGCATGGCTTAGCCAAAGCAAATGCTTACCAAGGGTGCCCTTGCTGTCCTGTCAACGCAAGCTAATCCGCATGTTTCCTGCATTTCACTTACCCAAAGGACCGAAAGGGTTAACTTTTTGGCCCCTTAAACATGGCCCAAGCTGGGCAAACCAAAAGGCCAAAAGGTCGCAACTGAGGTGTACTTTTGCTTCATCCTGACAAGCCGCAAAGTAGCTGCCTCCATTTCCCCCCCAATTCCCCGCCTCGGGCTGCAACTCTTCAGGCACCTTGGCTCGAAGCTTCTCGAGCTTCACAGCTCCGTCCTCCACTGCCTGAAACGTCGAGGGACTTGAGGGGGTGGGGGCATCGCTGGTATCAATGTGACTATGGTGAGAGATGCTTGGTCTGAATCCGCATGTAATTACTTCGCCCATGTCTTTCTGAATGCGACTCTTGGCCACTTCACGGCAGTCGTATGCCCCGTCGGCGTGCTTAGTCAAAACTCAGAACACCCCCCACCCTCTTTTGGGGTACGCTAAAAAGGCACCCTCTTGCCGCTTGCCACTACCAAGCGTGCAGTGGTATTCGGAAATTTCTCCGACACACCAAATATATATATATATATATCAATTGTTTGGCGAACCGTCGGCTACACCTGGAGCAGAATGCTCAGGGCCCTTGAGTTTTTGCTGGAGTTGGATGGCTTCAGTTTAGCTTGGAGGCGTGAGTGTATGGTGAATCACACAGGCATCATTGGTTGATACTTGATATACTCCATGATCATGAAATAACCCCCTTTTCGGACTGTGGCGCTTGTTGGCTACAACGTGCCGTTTCTTCTCCCAGGTACGACACAGTCCGGTTCCTGATTGATTGGAATTGACTTCTTTTGCGTCTGTCCCTTGGCTTCTACTCGTCTGACAAGGGCTCTGACAATGGCATGCCCAAAGCACGCGTTGAGGTGGGGTTGGCCATGTCAGTGCCGGGCCCCAAACAAACGGCCACATAATGCCAGGTTGCCTCAATTGCCAGACGTTTGCAGAAGTTCAGGGTAGCTGCTGCGTTTGTTTGGATCTGACCTCGCCCCTGTGTTTTGATGCACGACTCCTCTTGTCCAATGCTCCTTGCAAGAATTATACCATATAGGTATACCGTTGGCTTTCAGTCATCAGAACCTTTCGCTTTGAAGGAAACGCTACAGGTTCTGTTTGTTTATTTTACGCGTGTCCGGGCGAATAACCGCTTACCACTTATTCTGGAAACGCTCTCGCCGACACGTTAGACAATCACCGGAGGAATACAATGCCAACTCGACATCACAGTTTGCTGATTGGACATGGGGCCCTTGTTTTTATTTTGGGGCTCGCGGCAGGCGTCCCCTTTTTATGGGCCCTCGACGCTGTCGCTGCAGGGGGCGGCGCAGTTGAAGCTGAGGCGCTGCGCGCCTGGCGTATGGCGCATCTGGAAGGCACACTGAATGGTATGATGATGATCGCCGTCGCGGCCGCCGCCAAACAACTCACCTTGAGTGAAGGTCGGTCTTCTATCATCACCTGGGGGCTTATCGCGACAGGTTGGGGCAATATCCTCGCCTCCTTCGTGTCAAGCATGACTGGTGGACGCGGCCTCGCCTTTACAGGCATCGACTGGAATACGCTCACCTTCACTCTTTTCTCGATTGCGATTGTCGGTGTGATTGCCGCGTTTGTCGTTTTGGCGCTTGCCGCCTTTTCGCAACCCAGCGACTAGAAAGCCCTTGCATCTGGTTTGGCGGAAACTGTCTGTTGAATGTCATTTCCGCCAAACAACGCATCCCCTAAATTGACATCACCAGCAACAAGGGAGTGCGCCACATGCACATCGTGATTTTTCTCTATGACGGGTTCACAACATTAGATGCGATAGGACCGTTTGAGTCTCTCAGCCGCTTGCCGGATGCAGAAGTTACCTTCGTTGCCAAGGAAGCCGGGATGGTTGCCAACGATAATGGCCTGATCGATATCTATGCACCGAAAAGCATCGATGAAGTCGACAGCGCGGACATTCTACTTGTGCCTGGCGGGTTTGCCGATGAAGCCGTGCGCAACGACCCTCATCAGATGGACTGGGTTCGCAAAATCACGAAGACAACAAAGATCAATGCTTCTGTCTGCACGGGCTCCCTCATCCTGGCGGCGGCGGGGCTACTCGACGGCAAGAAGGCGACGACCCACTGGGCGCGCTATGATGTGCTGGAAGGATATGGCGCTACGCCTGGTGCCGAGCGCTGGGTCGACCATGGGGACATTATCACGGCTGCCGGCGTCTCGGCCGGCATTGATATGGGACTATACCTGTCGGCGCAGATCGCAGGCGAGGATTATGCCAAAGCCCTACAGCTTGCTATTGAGTATGCGCCAGAGCCGCCCTTCAAGTCGGGCAGCGTGGCGACGGCAGCGCCAGAAACTGTTGAGTTAGTGGCAGCAACAATGGGCAGCGGTGAAACTACGCCACGCCCTCTACCAGAGCGTATTACCCGTGTGCCCCGGGCGCATTAATCAGGACCCAAACTGGTCCTACTAAAGCGAAGGTGACAAAAAGCCGTTTGGCGGGTTTTCGACCTGCCAAACAGTCTCCAAGAGATCACGGCATGCGTTGCGATGGCTACAATCGGATGCCATTGCACAGTTTTTCAGCGAAAAGAGGCGCTGTGCGCCCTCGCTGTCTAATCCATACTCCTTCATCAAGCGAGCCGACGCGATCCGATCGCGGCATATGGGTTCCATAGTCTCTCCCCTATTTCCGAGCCTGCATGGTGGCGGCTCTATGCAGTCCTCGCGTTGACCAGGATCAAGCCTTCCCGGATTTCTACACGCCCCTAGTCGGGCTCGGCCAGCAATTAGACGCCCGGGAGCCGCTTCTATATCTTGCCACCCAAAGAAATAGAAAATTTGAGGGAGAAACCATGGCGAGCAAAAATCCATTCGATCCGGCGCTCTTTGACGAAAATGCTGTATCTACGGAGACAAAGGCCATTAACAGTGCCTTGGTCGAGCTGTTGGAAAAGTCCGACGACAATTGGGACATTGGCGTCGCAGAAGCCCGGGCCCGTCGTGATCGGGGCGAAGGTCCTTTCCCGCTGGTTCCAAAATCAGAGCGTGCAATCACACGCACCATCCCCGGCAAAGGGGGCGACGTGGAGCTGCGGATCATCGCTCCTGAAAACCCAAAGGGCGTCTATCTTCATTTTCACGGTGGTGGATGGGTGTTTGGATCTGCCGATGGCCAAGACCCTATGCTTGAGCGGATCGCCGACAATTGCGGGCTCGCCTGTGTGAGTGTTGAGTATCGTCTTGCACCGGAACACCCTTACCCCGCCGGCCCTGACGATTGCGAAACAGCCGCCGCCTGGTTGGTTGCGCATGCAAAGGATGAATTCGGCACCGACGTGCTGACCGTCGGTGGAGAAAGTGCGGGCGCCCATTTGGCCGCCGTCACCCTGCTCCGCATGCGCGACCGGCACGGGTTCACCAATTTCGCCGGTGCGAATCTGGTATTCGGTGCATTCGATCTTCGGTGGACTCCGAGCGCACGCGCCTTTGGCGATGAGCCCTATCTGATCCTGCGCACTCATGATCTGCACAAATTCGATGAGTGTTTTATTCCCAAGGGCGCCGACACCTCAGACCCAGACATCTCCCCGCTGTTTGCTGACCTGAAAGACATGCCACCTGCTCTCTTCAGCGTCGGAACGGCGGATGCGCTGCTAGACGATAGCTTGTTCATGCATGCCCGCTGGGCAGCGGCTGGAAATGACGCGGAGCTCGCAATCTATCCCGGCGGCGCGCACGGCTTTGTCGCTTTCCCCGGCGAACTTGCCGCTTCGGCGGTGAAACGCATGGATGCATTTCTCAATCAGGTTACGAAATGACCCGGATCGCTAAAAAACGTAGGGGTGCCCTGGCATCCCTTCAAGACAATGACTTTCATCCCGCACCTTTATAAAGTGCGCCGTCTTCAGTCCTTCCTAGAGATTTCATGACCGACCCTATTCAAACAGTTCAAAGCATCGTCAACACCTGGAACTGCGATGAAGTGGGCCATATGAACGTTCAGTTCTATGTGGCGGCCGCATCTGACGCCAATCACGCATATGCTGTCTCTCATGGCCAAAGCGGACCCGTCCTATCAAGTCGAGATCATATTCGCTTTCATCGCGAATTGAGGGTCGGGGATATTTTCGCCGTAACCAGCCGTGCCTCGGGCATACATGAGGGAGGGCTCATCCTCTCCCATGAGCTTCATAACTCCGCAACTGGCGTTCTTGCTGCAACGCTTACGAACCAGACTGACCTTCCTGCGCATTTGGATGACGGGCCCTACGCCCCCCTGAAAGACGAAGCCCTGCCCCGCGGCCTGCCCGGCATGTCTTCTTTGCCCCGCCTTCAACTGGATGATCAGGCCGCTCAAAACCTGATCCCCATCTATCAGGGTGTTGTGCATCCCGAGCATTGCGATGAAACCGGCCGCATGCGCCAGCAACATATTATGGGCCGGTTTTCTGATGGCGCCGCGCACCTCTGGCAACAGGTCGGATTTGATCGCGATACCATGCTCAAGGCCCGGCGAGGCACGGTGGTGCTTGAAATGCGCCTTGATCGTTTGGCGGATGTGCGTGCCGGAACGGTTCTTGTCGCAAAGAGTGCCATGGTTGAAGTGATGGGACGGGTCTTATGCTTTGCCCACTTCCTGTTTGACGCCTCAACCGGGGCACTTGTTGCAACCGGCGAAGCTGCAGCTGTGATGCTCGATCTGGATGCCCGCAAAACTGTTGCCTTCAGCGATGAAGAGAGCGCCAAGCTCGCGCCCTACATTATGAAGGTCGGCTGACGTGTCTGCATTGGGGGGCGAAATGATTGATACCTATCGCGGCTATGTGAATCCATGGGAATGCGACGAGATGGGCCATATGAACATTCAGTTCTATATGGGGAAAACATCCGACGCTGCTTTCCACCAACAGGCGTTTCTGGGTCTTGGGTATGAGCATCAACAGAGCGAGCGGACGACCTATGTCGCTCTTGAGCACCACATACGGTTTCACAAAGAGCTGTTCGCAAGCGATCTTGTTGCTGTGCGGTCGGGCACCCTGTCGCTCAATGACAAGACGATGCGGATCTATCAGGAAGTTCGCAACGCGCTCACCGATGCACTCTCAGCCACACTCGTCGTCGACGTAGGGCATTTCGATTTGAATGCACGGAAGCTCGTTCCCTGGAGTGACCACATGCGCAGCCAAGCTGAAAAGATCATGGTCGAGCGCCCCGATGCCGCTCAGCCCCGTTCCCAACCGGATGGGTCCCTCGACCGCAACGTCTCGCTAGAACGGGCTGACGAAAAAGGCATGCACGAAACAAATCGCTCTGCGGTCAATCGTTGGGAATGCGATTCGAATGATCATATGAATTCGCGTTTCTATCTCGCGCGCTTCTCTGAATGCCAGGGGCATATGTGGGCGGCAGCAGGCCTTGATCGTCATTCACAGAAAGCCAAGGGCCTCGCCACTGCCACTGTCGAAATGCGCCTTGCCTATTTCAAAGAACTGACTGCCGGACAAACCCTCTTTGTACGCACGGGGCTCGAAGCACAGAACGCCAAAACGCTGCGTTACCGACACTGGATGTTTGACGCCGAAACGGGCGAGGCCGCTGCGGCCTCTGAAGGCACTGCCCTTCTCATTTCGCGGGAAACCCGCAAGGCCGTCGACCTTCCACACGAAATTCGCGACAGACTCGGCTGAGTTCGTCACACGCCATACACCTATCCACCTTCAATGGAGAGTTTCATGAGCTTTGTTGAGCTTTATCGCAGTTCGGTACAAACCTGGGAGACCGACGGGATGGGGCACATGAATGTGCAGTTCTATTCCGAGAAGGCAACCAGCGCTCTTGCGGCGCTGAGCCTTCACCTGGGTCACGGCCGCGATGAGATAGCCCGGACCGGTGCACGCCTCGTTGCTGAAGACCATCACATTCGTTTCCTGCGCGAACAACGCCCAGGTGCGCCCATCTTTATTCGGGGTGGCGTGGTGGAGGCGGATGCAAGCCGGCTCACCTGCTATTTTGAAATGGTGAACACGGTTTCAGGCGATGTTGCAGCGACCTTCTTTGCTCATGCCTCTCTCCGGTCAGACAAAGATCGCAGCGAAGTCGACATCTCTGATGCGATGATCGCCGAAGCGGCGACATTCAAAGTAGACGTGCCGCCGCATGGGAGCCCACGTGGCCTCAAACTCACACCGCCCCGCTCTGCCCCAAGCCTTGGCGACGCAGAAGAGATGGGCCTGCTCACCACATTCCAGGGCGAAGTGATGCGAGACTGGTGTGTGACGGGTGATTTTCTGGCGACCCGTCGGTTTATGGGCATTGTATCAGACTCCATTCCCAATCTACTGGCTCAAACCCGCGGGGATGACCGCTCGAAGGACAGCACAACTGGAGGGGCGGCGCTCGAATACCGCTTTGTCTATCGGGACGCCCCACAAGCTGGGGACATATTGACACTCAGAAGCGGCCTTAAGGAAGTGACTGACAAGACCTATACCTGGGCGCATTGGCTGTTTGATGTGGAAACAGGGCGATGTGTGGCGACTGCAGAAGCGGTTGCCATCGCGCTTGATCTCGTGGCCCGCAAGGCCATTCCCATTCCGCCTGATATGAAGGCGGGTCTTGAGAAGTTCGTTGTGCCAGGATTGGGTGTCTAAATTGGAGAGCGCTCATGAACGCTGAAGAATATCTGGAAACAGCTCGCCGCTTCCGGCGCGAGATTGTCGAACCCAATGCTGCCCAGTGGGAAGCAGAAAAGCGACAGCCTGTAGCGGCCCTAAAACAGGCAGCCGATGCGGGCCTTATGCGCATCGAGACACCTGTTGAAGCTGGCGGTTTTGGCCTCTCATTCCTGACAAAGCTCGCCCTTTGCGAAGACATGTCGCGGGCCGACATGCCTTTCATCTTTGCGCTCATCAATACGCAGAATGTGGCATCTCGCCTGTCAGCTACGTCAAACCCGCGTCATCAGGCCGATTATGTTCCCCGCATATTGTCCGGCGATCTGTTTGCCGCAACAGCGCTCTCAGAGCCCGGTGCCGGAAGTGACTTTGCGGGGATAACAACGCGCGCCACGAAGGTCGATGGTGGCTGGGAGCTCACGGGCGAAAAGGGTTGGATCACGAATTCGGAGATCGCCAATCTCTTCGTGACCTACGCTCAATGCAAACCTTTGGGCGACCCAGATGCTGGCTGGCGGGGTGTTGGCTCTTTCCTTGTGGATGCCACACGCCCGGGCTTCACCCGCGTTGACCCGTATGCGCTCAGCGGGGGCCATGGGATTGGCGCTGGTGGTTTTAAACTCGATCGCTATTTCGTGGCCGACGAAGATGTGCTGGGCGGACCCGGAGACGGATTTAAATCCGCCATGTCAGGCGTAAACGGCGCTCGTGTCTATGTGGCCGCCATGTGCGCGGGGCTTGTTGCCGACGCGCTGGAAAAAGCCGTGAGCTATGGCGCGACACGCAATGCGTTTGGCGGACCGCTCCTCAACCATCAAGGCTTAAAATGGTCCCTCGCCGATGTTGCGACTGAACTGGAAGCCATGCGCACGCTTACCCAGGCGGCGGGTGTTCTCATTGAAGAAGGGGGAAATGCGGTCACGCGTGCTGCGCAGGCCAAAAAGTTTGCGACGGAGCGTGCTGTAACCTTGATCGAGGCTTGCATTCAAGCAATGGGTGCAAACGGCTTGCGAGAAGAGCACGGCCTTGGCCGTCATCTCATCTCGGCGAAGATATTGGCCTACACGGATGGGTCCATCGAAATGATGAACGAGCGCATCGGCGCTGCCCTCCAGAAAGAGTACACCTCTTAAGTGCGCAAAAGTCTGCCTTGAATCCGCTCAGGAGCGGACGGTTCGCGGCAGAACAGAGCGAATAATGATGCCGCGCTCACCGGCAATGCGCTGAATGGTTTTTGTTCCTCTCACCAACCGGTAGAGTTCTTCCATATTCAATGCACGGCGCGCGGCTTTCGCTGCTGCGCGGGTCTCGTTGTAGAGTTTGCGCAAGCTGCGATCATCAAGTTTTTTAATCTCAGCTTCTTTCTCTGCACGCTTCGGATCTGGTTCATCGAACTTCACAATCATGATGTCATGCTCCTGATTACTTTGTTCCAGCTCAGTCTTGTCTCAAATTCGGATTACGGGTTTGCTTCACTACTGCCCAAGGGGTTTTGCTGCAACTCTTCATCCATGCTCTGCATCTCTTCGCCAAAGATACGCGCTGCCCTGGCAAAACGCTTTGTCATCTTCTCGAAGAACCCAAATGCTTCGTCTAGCTCTTCGTCAGTGGGCACTCCTGCACGCTCCGCAGGTGTTTTGGCTTCCAACTTCTCGAGACGTTCGCTTAGAGCGGCAATCTCGGCGTCATAGGCCGCACGTTCATCCGCTGCCAGTTCGCAACTAAAGCCACCTGCTTTTTCACGACAGTGAGAGACTTCGCCCGTTTGTGTATCAAGGCGCAGAAATCCCTCGCCTGTTTCTGTCATGGAATAGCGTGCTTCATTTGCAAGCGCAGTTCCACCCGTAAAAAGGCATATGCTTAAAGCAAGTGCGAGCCCAGTCCGGTTCATAAAAAACCCTCACATCAAATCCGTACCCATGGTCAGAATGAAGATGGATTGAGGCAGGAATGCGACCAAAAAACCTTAACTTTTTGAGCTTTTCTATGGGTTTTTCTGGGCCTCTAGCCTGTCTTCAAGGGCACCAATTTCGCGCCGCGCAATGTCTGGAAATTCCATCGGCAGGAAATGCGACGCCGTGCCAAGACGCAAGATGGTGCCCTGTTTGTCCTGACGCCCAATGATTTGCGGTGCGTCTCCCCGGCAGGTCGACCCCGCCCCTGCGTAAACAAGGCTGATAGGGCATTTAACTTTGTGCAATGCCACAAATGTATCGTGCTCATGCCCACGGAAATTGGCGGCCTCCCAAGCTGGTGCACAGGTGAGTTCCACCTCACCGCTCGGCAGTTCACGGGTTCCACCCTCGACATAGTCCGCAATCATCTCGACTGGCCAGGAGGTAAAGGCTCCACGGCCCGTATATTTTTCCACCATGGTCGCCCGATCAGGAAACACAGACCGGCGGCGTTCTGCACCCGTTGCCAGATCATGAGGGCCCAAACCAATGCCGAGCTTTCGCATCCATTGAAGAAGGCGCCCCTGATTGCGACGGATCATGACTGGATCAAGCAGCACGAGACCACGAACCAAGTCCGGCCGCCGGGCGGCGGCAAGAATGCTCGTGGTTCCGCCCATGGAATGGCCTGCCAGCAACACTGGCCCGCCTGCCTCGTCGGCAAATCGTTCCAGCAGCGCCACCAGATCATCGCTATAGCGATACCAGCTACGCTGTGTCCGTGGGTTGGCGGTGAGACTTGTCTGGCCATGACCGCGCGCATCCCAGGCGCGTATGTGGAAGCGGTCAGCGAGCGGCGACAGAAGATTACGGTACGTCAGGCCGTTAAACCCATTGGCGTGGGCGAAGTGGAGCGGCGGCAGACCCTCGCTCGACTTCCACTCAATATAGGATTGCGCACCTTCCGCCCGCTCAAAACTCGCGCGGACCGGCTCAGAAGATAGGGGACTCGACATGTTCACGTGGGGGTACTTTCAAGCTTCTAAAAGAGACTTTCTTCTCAACCAGTCTGTGACGACGCCGACTGCGACCATCATCTTGTCCGGCTGGCCAATATAATAGTGGGTCGCGCCGTCAATCACATGAAACTCTTTGTCGTCATGCTGTACACAGGCTAACAGCCGCTTTGCATGGCTTGGGGTACATCCATCATCTGCGCTGTTTTCAATCACAAGAATGGGCACCGAAACGTCACCGGCGCATTCAGGTCCCTTAGCACGGGAGTGTTCGATGGACCATTGGGAGAGCCAGGCACGTAGAGAACAGAAACGGGCAAGCCCTGCCGGCATCATGTTGACCGTCTTCGGGTCACCCATAAAACACCAGTTCGGGCCCTTGCGGTCATTCGGATCAACGTTCAGGTCCAGCCAACGCGGGTCCGCCATGGTGCCATGAACCACAAAGCCAAACTCTTCGTTGGGAAGCCCTGCCTTTTTCAGTTCGTCCAGTTTGTTCCAGACGAAGTCGTCGATCCGTTTTGAGCGTGCCACCTGCGCAGCCCGGTACCACCCTACATAAGTATCAGAATAGGTCGGTTGGTTCGGATTGTCGGAATCGTAGAGATTGAGGTCGACGTCCCGCTTCGAAAGATCACTTTCGTCGATGATTGAGGCATCAAGCCACTCGGTTAGAATGATTGCCCGGCTTACATGGGCGGCAAGCTGAAGTACTGCGTCCGCTGGGATCAACTCTGCGCCGACGACATCTACTGCGTCGCCTGCAGGCGTCGCGGTGATGGTCGGCTTCTCAGCCTGTGACTGGTAAAACATGGAAAGCGATCCCCCACCGGACCATCCGGCCAGGATCACTTTTTTGAAGCCCAGCTTCTCCTTGGCGTATTTGATGTACTGCCCAAGATCGAGGATGACCTTTTCCATGATGAGCGCCGTGTCATTGTGGGGATAGCGGCTCCCACAACAGAGACAGTGAACACCAGCAGCTGCCAAAGCGTTCGGCATGGGCAACAGGTTCATGGTGCCGGTGGGATGCATGAAGATGAGGACGGTGTCTGAGTCCACGTCTTTTGGTTTCAGGTACTGCCCTTCAACCACGATCGTATCCAATGCCCCTGCATAAGTTTCCTTAAAGGCTGACTTTTCCTGCCAATGCAGAAAAATGGGAAGACGTTCGACCTCGTGTGGTGTTGCGTTTGTCATTTAGTCCTCCACCAAATTGCCATCTGCATCGCGTATTTCGGGACCGTTCACCCGAACCCGCCCGTCGCCGAATTTTCCGTCACGCTCCCTGAAGGCTTCTTTCAGGCCCTTCTCCGCGGCATTCTGTCTGAACGTATCGGCGGCTTTGGCGCGATGACCGCGGGCATCATTTTCGCAGGCGAGCCGTTGAAGGGTTCTCGCCCCCATCAGTTCCAAGCCCAAATTGACCACGCGTTTCTGAGTGGTCAGCAGATCCGGATCGATCATCGCGAGCCGGTCTGCAAGGCCTTCCACTTCGGCTTCCAGCATGTCCGCAGGCACCGACTTCATAACAAGCCCGATCTCTTGTGCTTCTTTGCCTGTGATGCTGTCCCCGGTGAGCAGCAGGCGCTTCGCCCATTGCGGACCGCAATGGTAGAGCCACATCTGGTTAGGCAGGGAGCCCAGATCGCGCGCTGGGGGAAAAGCGATCACAGCGTCATCGGCGGCAATCACCATGTCACTCAAAAACGCGATATCGGTGCCCCCAGCAAGGCAGCGCCCGTGGAGCTGCGCAATGACAGGCTTGTGCATGTCAAAAATCGCCATGCGAAACCGCTGCTGCCGCTCCAGCTGCCAGATATCATCATCAATGCTGGATGCGCCTCGGAGATTGCGATCCCGATCGCGTGGGGCGGCGCCTGCCAGGTCATAGCCCGCACAAAAATCCTGCCCGGCTCCCCGCAGAATGACGGAATGCACGTTCCGGTCATTATCCGCATCCCAAAGCGCTTCGCTGAGTAGGCGCTGCACTTCGTACGAAAGAGCATTTCGTTTTTCAGGACGGTTGAGCGTCAGACGCATGCGGCCCCGCTCGACCTCTACCTCGACATCTGCCATGAGCCCGGCCTTCCGGTTAGGGGTGTTTCGTCGTCGAGTTATCGAAAGTTTGCAGGCCGCTTTTCGAGGAACGCATTCACGGCTTCCTCGTGTTCCGGCGTTTCCCAACATTCGTGCAGAAATTTGGTTTCAAGTTTCTGGGCTGCATCGAGATCAGTGGTTACCGCGTTTTCAGTCAGCAGTTTCTTGGTCATGCGGAGTTGGATGTCCGGATTGGTCGCGATCTGCTCGCCAATGGCAATGGCTTTGTCCAAAAGCTCGTTAGACGAGACACAATGCTCCGCCAGCCCAAGGTCCGCCGCCTCCTGTCCAGAGTAAAGGCGCGCGGAGAGCATCATCTCACTCGCCTTGCCCCAGCCCATGCGCGAGATGAGGAAGTGACTTGAGGCAAGCTCCGGCACGATGCCCATTTTGACAAACACCAAGCCGAACTTTGCGGCATCTGACGTAACGATCACATCGAAGGGCAGGATCATGGTGACACCGATGCCAACTGCAGGACCATTCACCGCTGCAATCAGCGGTTTGGATTCACGGACGAGCTTGATCCAGTCAACGGTTGCGGGCACGCCGCCGGAGCCACCTGCAGTGTCGTTGCCCGGGTCAGTGCCATCAATGCGTGTTTTGAATGTGCTCTCAATATCAGCGCCTGCGCAGAAGCCACGACCGGCGCCGGTCATCACAATGGAGCCAACGCTTTTGTCATCGTTGGCTGTCTCAATTGCGTGGGCCAACTCTTCCATCATCTGCGGCGTCCAGGCATTCAACCTGTCCGGACGGTTCAAAGTGATGAGCGCAATGGTGCCCTTGGTCTCATAGATGATCTGTTCATACATCATCTGCTCCTCCCCAGGATATGTTGTTTGAGAGAAGTGTAGCGGGCGGTCGCGCTCAAGGCGAGGCGGTCATGCGCGATCTTTAAGAGCGTCTTCCAGCATGTCCAGTCTGTCCTGGCCCCAGAAAAATTCGTCGCCAAGACAGTAGGACGGCGCGCCAAACAGTCCGCGGTCAATCGCGTCTTGTGTGTTTTGTTTGATTGTATCCGAGATATCTGAGCGCGACGCTGCGTCAACAAGCCCTGCCCCCTCCAGCCCCTTTTCGTTTGCAATCGCAGCGACCATTCCAGGCTCGGCGATGTTGCGCTCTTCTTCCCAAACAGCGCGCATCAGAGCATCTGCAAGTTCACCGGCGGCCTCTTCACCGGCCTCTTGGATTGCGACGATAACGACCCCATCCGCCAATCGCGGATTAACCGGCCAGTGCGCCGGATCGAGGTTCATGGGCAGTCCGCGCTTTTTGCTCCACCGCGTCATCTCGATCTTCCGCCACGCCTGTCGCTGAGGCGGACGCTGACCGGCCGGAAGACCGCCAGTGGCTTCAAACAAAGTGAGGAGGTTTGTTGGCTTGTGATGGACCTTCACATCGTAGCGTTTTGTGAGATC